AAGTTTTTCACTGGCCTGCGAAGCTTCTCGTGCGCCATCACCGTCCGCCCCCCTTGCTGGGGGGGGTACCTGGCACTGTGACCACCACGGCTTTCTTGCTCACGTTTGATATATGGTGACGACTATGTCCATGGAGGCCTTCTGGACAAGCTGATCTGAGAGGACGCTGAGAGAGGCATAAGTTGTAGCCCCGTGTTCATGTACAGTTTTGGCACATCTATGTCTGAGTAGACAGGCAAGCTGGCTAGGCTTTCATGTTTGCTTGAACGTCGTGGTCCTTAATTCATCTTTGTCGCATGTTTTTGAGGCTGATGCAGTGGTCAAGCCACTGTGTCCCTTGGCAAATCGATTTTGTGGGTGTTTTGTTTGGGCTCCGGCCCCTTTTTTTGTTTGTGTCTGGTTTGTTGTTGTTTGTTTTGCTGTTTCCTCTGGCGAAACGCAAGTCTGGCTGGGGGATTTGCGGGTCGTCGTGGTTTGGTGGTCTTGTGTGGTTTTTGGTTTTTAGACTTCGATTTGCCTGCTCATATGGACCAACTGTGTCCTTGTACAAACGTCTTTTCGACAGCTTATGCTCATGTATATAAGGACCGAGCCTTAGCGCGACATCGGCCAAACTCGAGGAAAAAAAAGACCTGCAGGTTCTGCGGCTTAATTTCAGGAGTGATGCATCTCACTTGACCATCGATGACTCGCGTGTACGATTCGGATCGGTCAAACGATGCTGTGACTTTTAGGCCGAGGTATAGTTCTCTAAACCAGTATTCTTTGAGCAACATAAAGGAAAGATGAGGTGCCCTCCCACTTCCAATACGTGCGTTGCTGGTATCAGGAAAGTGACTAACCATTCGGCCAAAAATTCAATCATCCTTGCTTCAAGCTTTGGGAGGATTTTCTGGACCGCCTGGAGCGCTGTCTCAATGTCTGGGACATGTGTAGCCGAGGGCAATCCTACTGTTCGCCTGGCATATTCGTCAGCAAAGTAGAGTCGGCACAATTTGGAAACCCACTGGCTTGGTTTCTCCATATCTATTGTGATCTTAGCCAGGGGCCATGGGTCGGGTAGCGTGGATAAGCAATGCAGTAACTCTGAAGTTAGTTCTGGGGATATTACTGGGAGCGCCCCTCCTTGTGGTCGATAATCTGCAGTTGCCCCTGCTGTGCCCTTGCTCATTTGTGTGTGGATGCGGGCCGCCTTGTGCACTTCTTGTATGGTGGACTCATATTGGTTGACCATAGCTCTTAAGTACTTGCATGCGCGGACCGCTGCCCTCCTTGTATTAGGCCCATCTTCGGCCTGATTCTTGGCGGCTGTCGCAAGGATGTCTCTCGCTTCTTCTTCCGGCGACCGAGTTGGTTCTGTACCAGCCGCAGGTGCAGTCGGAGCGATATCTTGGACTGGCGCTTCTTTAGTGCGTGGCAGGTGGCCGGGGATTGGTAGCGTTGGGTGTACCCGCCATCCATCAAAGAAGTATATACCTGACAAGGGTAGGATTTCCTGATCAGGGCCGGTCTGCGCCACAATCTGCCCAGTACGCGCCTTGTACAATCCTGAAGGCAGGCATACATATGTGGGAAAGGGTGTGCGATCAGCTGCGTAGGCATACAGGACAACTTCCGGGAACGGGAGATTCTGAACAGGAATCCATTTATGTTGAGCTGCTAGCCCTGTCTTGACTTCTTGGAGGCGATCTCTGTTCAGCCACCCAAGATCTGACCCTCGAACCAATATCAGACGGTATCTCGCTCGCTTCACCTCATTGGTTTGTTGGTCCTGGTATTGGTTTGCGATTGCGAGGGGAGGGAATTCCCATGCAGGTGTTGTTGAGTTCAGCGACCATCTACTCATCTGTGCAAGATTCTCCTGTTCTGGGTTGGCATCGAAGTCAGGCCATTCCCATGTCGTCTCTCCTCTTCGAAGGCCTCGGATGCCATATGCTATGGTCGCGACCACCTGAGCCATGCCCATAAGCCCCATCATGTCTAACGGGGAGACCAACAGGGTTAAGGATTTTGAGCGGGTGAGTCCGACAGTGATTCGGCCAAGGCAGTCTTCCGTATCTTCCGTAGGGGAACCGTTGGAGTAGTACTTCGTGTTCAGGAATCCAATACTGGGCTGGGCTACGATTGCTACTCGTGCTGTTCCTCCTGCTGAGTTGGCAATTGTTTCTACACGGAGAGTGCGGGCATAATCTTTCTTAAGCACTGAACGGTTCAGGTTATTCTTGTGATCTGTTGCAGTGGTCATCACGAAGAGCCCGTCGGGAAACCCGGCATTCCTGGGGAAGGGGGAGAGCACTTCTGACACGAGCGTTTCTAGGTCTGTCGCTACTAGCCCATTAATTCTAGCATTGGTGTCCCAAAGCACGAACTGGAACCCCGGTGGCCTGTCTGGAAGTCCTCCGGAGGCAAAACTTCCAAGTTCCCACATGTCGTTGATGAGTCTGCAAAGATCAGGGTATCTGACTGCTACTACTGAGTGATATGTCACAGGGCTAACTCTTGAGCTAGACGGGAGCATCAATCCCCAGGCATGGATGTCGCTCACTCCTGCGGTATGGGAGTTTAAAACCGCTTGTATGTCACCGGCCATGGGTAGGAGGGTCGCAGCATGCTGCAAAATCCAGGCAAGGCGTACGAGAAAAACATCCACACTACCAGGCCATACCAGAGGGTGAGTGAAGCAACAAAAGCACCATGCGGAACCAGGGATCCCCCAGCCAGGATCCCCGAGATCACATGGCGCCTTTCCTATCGAAGCTGTTTCTACTCCCTGTAGCAGTCTTGCGCTGGTTCTCTCCAGCTGTGAGGTGTCCAGGCAGGGCACAGATGTTTTTCTTCGTGAACAAGTTTTGCGTTGGGATAGAGACCAAAAGTGAAGCTCTTTGATTTTTTTCTTAGAAGATGCCTCGACTTCCAATGGAGGTGGATCGAGTTTATCACGGTGGCATCTCAAAACGAAAGAAGGGAAAAAAGGAAAGCCTTCCAACTCAAGGGAGACCAGAAAGACAAAGTGAAAGGTAAAGGCAAAACAAAAGATGGAAGTCCCGTCAGAAGGGCAAGCAATGAAAAGTGACTACAAGGGCAAGTGCAGCGGGAAAAGAAGTGAGTCAGGGCAAGTCTGCAAAGGAGATATGACTGTCACAAGTGCGGCAAGGTCGGGCATTTTTGCTTCTGACTGTTGGCCCCAATTCTGTGCGCAATGTTCAGGTAGAAAGATCACAGCCAATGCAGGCCAAGTCCAACAACAACCGTGGTTGCAAGTTCACAGATGTCAGCAGTTTCCCAGCAAGGACGTGTCGCAAGAATTCAGTTTTCAGATGTCACGCAATTTTCAGATGTTCCAAGGGATGATGATTTTGTGTTTGACATGGGATGTCCTAGCAGTGAAGCCTGTGCGCGGTGAGATTCTATATCGGTGATGAGCCCAATGCCTCAGACTCTAGCAGTGAGCCTTGCAATGTTGTGAGAACGGTGATTGAATATGTTCCTGAAGAGTGTGATATGCAATAGCATTTTACTTGATTGAGGGGCTGATGCATCAATTTTCCCAGCGTCGATGTCAGAATTGACATTGAGGTTGTTTTTTTTGGCCCGAGCCCGTTGCCTTTCGGCGGGTCTACGGTACTTGAGACTTACTCGTCTACCACGTCACGATCGCGGCCCCGTACCCGGGGGGAATCGATCCGCGGCTAGTTGTCTATGCACGGTCCTGAGACGAGCATTATACCACTACGCGACGAGATCGCCTAGGTGTTGACATTGAGGTTGATGGACAAGGTGATGAAGGTCAACAGGTTCCACATGGGCATTTGGTTTTGGCACCAGGACGTGGCGATCACTTAAATGTCAATGGGGTTGAGTTATTCAAAGATTCTGCGCTGGCAACTTTGAGACAGGGATGTGCCTTTTATGGTTTGTCACAGACAGGGGCCAAAGAACGTTGTTTCAAGCGGCTTTGGGAACATCAAAAGAAGTTGGAGCTGCAGACAGCACTCACTGCAGGACGTGAAACTGAAGCTGAGCAACAGCGTTTGCCCAATCCTCAGCCTCTTGCAGAGCCTCCAGATGACAGAGCCATAGCCTTGCCCATGCTGACACACCTGCCATTTGCAGATTGGTGTGCTGATTGCATACCCCATAGAAGCCGTCCAGACCGCCACAAGAGGGATGGATCAGTGAAAGACTCAGGCATTCCAACAGTTTCGTTTGATTTTGCCCACACCAAAGCTGTGGAGCCAGGTGGAAACGTTGCCAAGACTGATACAGTCATTGCCCTCATCCTTGCAGACTCTTCTACAAACTACACTGGTTGCGTGTCAATACGTGGAAAGAATGACTTTGATGTGATGGTGAGGGAAATCATTCAGTTCACTCATGTTCTTGGCCACTCAGAATGCACCTACTTTGCGACAATGAGCCTCCAATCAAAGAAGTTCAGAAAAGAGCCGTCAGAGCCCGCAAATCCATGGGACTTGCCACGTATGACAAAACGCCAGCTGCATATACACATGGGAACAGCTTGTGTAAAAACACTGCAGGTCCTGTCAGAGGACTTGCAGGAACCCTCATGCACCATGTTCAAGAAAAGTTGTCGATGAAGTTGAATACAAACCATGTTTTGTGGAGCTGGGCCCTCAGACATGCAAGTTGGTTGTTGGATAGGTTTGCAGTGGTGAACGGCAGTACCCCGTTTGAGCTTGTTTACCAGAAGGTCTACAAAGGCCGTATGACGGAGTTTGCAGAGCCAGCGTTTGCATACACCCATACAGCACTGAAAGGGAAGCCAAAGTGGCAGCGTGTGATTGTCTTGGGGAAAACAGAGTCCCAAGATACATATGTGGTTTTCACTGGAACTGCAGTCATGCTCACGCGCTCAGTGCGCAGAGTTTCAACAGACTGGAAGTGCCACTTAGGGTTTTACCTTCACTTCAATGCACCAACATGGAAGTTCAAGACTGGTTTTGGTGGCAGAGTTGTGCCAAAAAAGAGAGCTGTTGAAGGTATTTCCGCAAGTTTCCAAGTTCATGATGCTGAAGCTGAAGCAGTCAAGAACAAAGCTGCAGAAGAAAAGTTGGAAGAACGTGAAATGGTTTCCATGGGCCATGAGGACAAAACCTTTGACCCTCGTGACAAAGCAGTAGCCCATGAATCTGCAGTGCCAAGGCCAAATCAACTTGTAGCCTTGGACATTCCTGAAGGTCCTTCTTCCTTTGAGGTAATGCGTAGACGTGCAGATGAAGTTGTTGTGGACCCAGTGTTTGATGACGACGCAGTAGATGCCTCCTTTCTTGCAACAATGGAGGATCAAGTGGATTTGACTCATGATGGTGGACAAGCTGCGCCTGTGACCCCTCCAGTTGGGTCCATGCAATTGCCTCCAACTCCACGCCATCCTCATTCCACTAGGATGCATGAAAGCCAGGAAGATGCAGACCATGAGGCCAAGAAAGCCAGAGTAGCAAATCAGAAGAAACAGAAAATCAACCAGTTGATGCAAGAGCATGAAGCCATGATACGTGTTGTGAAAGTTGGAACAGATGAGTTTGCAACGATGCATGACTACTCCACAGAACTTGACATGAGTGTTGATGTGTTGGATGATGAATACTGGTGTGACGAGGATCAAGTGGTTCCAGATGCGCTTTGGTCGAACCTCCCGTTGGACAAGCCTCCTCCAAATCCTGAATTTTGGGTTGATCAGCTTGCAGATGAAATTGAGGTACAAAGGTTGCTTGAGATGGGAGTTTTGCAAAAGCGTGAAGAATGCAGTGGAAACCTTACCACCAGGTTTGCCTACGACTGGAGAGTTAAGCAACACAGAAATGGACAACAGATGTGGATGCGTAGAAGCCGTTTTGTTGCCAGAGAGTTTGTAAACGTGAAACGCCATGACACGTATTCACCAGCAAGTGGCAGCCACACAGCCAACTTGGTTCCTTTGGTTTTTCTGAAGATGATGTCAGAGAGTTTGGAAAGTAGCTCCAACAACTCAGACTACGATGTCACTTTGGCATCATTGGACATCAAAGATGCCTTCCTCCAAGTTCCTCAGGAGGAGATTGTTGGTGGTTCTTTATATGGCAAAGAACTGGTGATCAGAAGAAACCTGCCAGGTCAACGTTTGGGAGCAAAAGCATGGTACTGGTACTTTCGCAACTACGTAGCCAAATGCTTTGAATGTGAATGGTGCAGTGAACAACCTTGTTTAGCCAGATGCACGTACAAAGGGATTCACAATGTCTTCATGATTCGCGTGGATGATTTGCTTTTTGCTGGAAGCAGTGACTTTTGGAACAACAAATTCCTTCCTGCAATGACCGAGGGTTTGAAGGTAAGCCACAGTGAGTTGAAAGAGAATGGGTCCTCAATCTCATTCTTGAAAAGACGTTTGGTGAAGCTTGAAGATGGTTTGATGATTGCCCCAGGTACCACAGTGGAAAAGGTTGTCTCATGCTTTGAAAAGCACTTCGGTTCCGCCAGGGGACAAAAGGTGCCTTGTGATGCTGGCATCCAAAATGAGGATCACTCACAATCCTTGAGCTTGAGTGACAGCAAAGCTTACAGAAGTGTGATTGGTTGCTGCTCTATGTTGCGCGTGAACGTGTGGACATAATGTTTACAGTGAAAGGATTGGCGGCCACGATGTCAGCGCCTATCCTGTGCTCCCTCCAGCGTTTGAGAAAGTTGGTGGGCTGCTTGAAGAGCAACGGAGATATGGGCATCAAGTTGAGGGTGCCAAGACATGGAGAAGGAAAATGGAAAACAGGAGGAAAATGATTTTGGATGTTAGAATCTTTCACAGATGCTGCTGGAGCGCCAATAAGAAGCACCGCAAAAGCACAAGCAGTGCCATTCACTTCATCAATGGAAGTTTTGCACATGCCTCTGCTCGTACCCAGCGGGTAGTGTCTTTGAGTTCAGCAGAAAGTGAACTGCATAGCATGGTTTCAGGTTGCTCTGATGGTAGCTACCTACGACGTTGCCCTCCAATTTCTGGTGAATGAAACAGTGGAGCAGGTGCAATGGACAGACAACAGTGCGGCTCGGCAGTTGGTATGCCGACAAGGTGTTGGCCGTATCCGACACTTGAGTGGCAAATTGTTTTGGGTTCAAGGTCTTGTTTTGGAAAAGGAAATTTCAGTGGGACAAGTGCCAACTGAATGGATCTATTCAGACATAGGTACAAAGCCTCTTAACAGGACCAGAATGCTCATGCTGCTCAACCAGATCGGTGCCATCGATCCAATTACCATGCGTATGGTGGGACACGGTGGGACAGGAGGAGTTCGAAGCAGTCTCAGAAAAAATGCTGTCCCAGCAGAACCTCAAGAAGATTACAAAAGCAATCTTGCGGATGACTGCACTTTTGGGCCTTGAGTCAGTGATTTCAACTGGAGCTGAAGCAGCAGAAATCAGCGGATTTGGTGATTTTGGTGAAACATGTGAATTGGCAGTGCAAAGTGCGAATGACTCCAGTGAAACGTTTTGGCTATGGGTCTTCATTAGCTGCATGGTCTTGCTTTGGGTTGCTTTTGCAACAATGGTTTTTCGCACGTTGAAGAAGCTTTCAAGAGACATGGAAGATTGCTGGAAACAAGCCGCTGATGAGGATGAATTTTCTGGAAAACTAGAACCACGTATGAGTGGTTTGGACAGGAGGATTGAGTTTGCAGAAGGACTTGCTGACAGAAATCGAGCTGAGTTACATGAAGAGATTCAGCAGGTCAGCAACGAGGTCAACATGACCCATGACTATACCTCTGGGCTCCATTATTACATTGTTGAAAGTGGCGGCTATTTGAAAAATGGGCTTGAACTAAGCCACCAGCAATGGACACACTTGGTAGCTTTGGAACGTGCCAATCTCATTGCCTCCAGGACAATGGGAACAGTTGAGTATATGAGGTTGATCAGGCAAAGAGGAAATCCAATCGGCCATGCAGATACCACAGATGTTACAGATGCAAATGCAGAAGAATCAGAAAGTGCGACTTCAGACAATGACATGGAAGTTGAACCTGGTACAGCTTCCTCGCCAACAGCTGGACGACCAGGTGTACCGCAAACAGTTTCAGAGATGGTTGATCTTTTGAAGGATGAACATGAAATTTGTTTGGAGAATGGATATTACTGGGATGCAAGTGCAATCCAAAACCTCATTCTGGAATTCTTGCAGATGGTGAGAGATGGAATTACTGAAGTTTTGGTTGCAGGATGCAAATCCAGAATGCACGAAGTCTTTACAGAGCTGATCACAAATGCGAGAAGAGCCAACCGGCCCAATGCAGAACAGCGATACCAAAGAATCTCCGACATGTACCCAGTTTGAGATGATGGAAAATGTTTTCTCTTTGAAGGTGGTTTGTCAGCAACAATAGCTGGCAACTGGCTGAGACGAGATGCAGAAAATGTGAAAGAATGGAAAAGTGATCGAATGCTCACTATTCCAAGGAGGAGCGCGTAAGATTTGCATTCCCCTGCACAAAGATGACACTGGCACAAATCGAGATGACTGTGTAACAGTTTCAGTCATGTACACATGAATACCATGTGGATGTATCCGAGGCCCTCTCGGCTTGAAAAAGGCGTGCAGCCCGCTTCGCACAATGCAATGTGTTTATTTTTGCCTCGGATCATTGAACGTTCGTTCAATAATTTGTTTTCGACAAGGTTTAGACATGTATTGCATGGTTGGGCGCACAGATCCAGCACATTATCTCCCCTGAATGACCACTACGCTTTATATGACCTTCAGACCATAAATTCCAGGTTTATTTTCATTTTTTAGTGGGGTTGCTGTAATGTGTTATCAGGTTTCTCCTGTTTTTTTGTTGTTTAAGGGGAAATCAGCCGTCCTCTACAATGGTGCATAAATAGATGCAAACATGTTTTTCTGGTCACAGATTGGAATCACTTGTGGTTTTTGTTTTTATGTCTCTTGGACCATTGTTTTGGTCAATTTTCCAGCCATTATTGGCTCAAGGTTCTATCTCAGGCCTGTGTTTCCATGTATGGCAACATTTCCTACTTCATGGCGTTGTTTGCAACGCCATTTGGTCAGCATTTGGGTTGGTTTTGATGTTTACCGTCCCAAAACAAGCATTGTTGGCATCCAGAACCTTTGGTGACACTGCAAATTTTGATCTGATGCTTAGGACTTGCAGAAAAACATGGTTCAAAATGGTGATGTGGGTTCCGCGTGGACCAATTGCAATTCTGAGGTCAATTTTGCTGCAATGCTTTGCAGCCCAAAGTTACAAAATCATGTGTTCTGGCCGCAAATTGAGAAGAGCTGACGCCGCAAAACGGATGTTTTTTTTTTCCAAAAAAAAACCGCCATTGTGATTTTTTTGGCAAACGATGATTGTCCATGGGGTTCGTCACATTGCGCCCATCGGTCTTTGTTCTGGTTTCAGATTTTGTGTCTGACATTGTTCGGACAAGCAGCATGATGTTCTCATGTGAATCAGCGATAGGTCCGATGGGTACTATGGTTTCCGCAAACGATGTTTGCTCTGAAGATCTAAGGCTTTTCTGGTCGGCACGGGACCCAAACGTGAGTTGTTCTCGGGCGGCTGGAAACGACCGAAGCAATCATATGCATACATCCTAAATTCTGCTGGTTTGTTGTTGAAAGAAGATGATTGCGATTTGTTTGAGGATTGATTGGCAATTTCGGGGACTATTTTTTTTTTCTGGGAATTTTCGAAATTCATGGCCCCAAATTGGACGGATGGTGCCGAAAAATTGGCCAGAAGTTGCGAGTCCATGGGGACCCATGTCAGGTCGGATTCTTGGTGCTTTAACCCATGGTTCCGATGGTTCCGATGGCTGAGGTGGATTCGGATGCTCGCACCATCGATTTGGTGAAGCGCAACGTAGCTCACGCGCGGCTTCAGGGAGGTCATGATTGCTGCGATGTCATGTGACCTGGCCTGAGTCAGTGTGCCTTGGGGAGGTTCCTTTCTCTGGGACCAAAACCCACATTGACATATGGAGGTTTCCATCAATGGGCGTATCCCAAAATGGTTGGTTTATAATGGAAAATCCTATTAAAATTGGATGATTTGGGGGTACCCCCATTTCAGAAAACCTCAATATTTTCACGAGGTTTACGAAAAAGGGGCTTTAGCTGCGATGAGCATCAACTTAAAATTTTCAGTTCATTCCTTTTTTTGACCAAAACCGTCCAGAACTCCAGAACCCTTGTCCTTTGTAGTCAACAGATGTCAACGTCCCTCACTCTTGTTTCAGGGATGTATTTGTTTATTTTCAGGTCCCTTATACTACTTCTTGCATATAATAATATGATTAATATGATAATATGTGTATTTTTATAATTTATACAGAATATAGCCGTGGAATGATTGCCGGAGTGGATCCGGATCCGACCTGCCGTGGAAGGGTTCATCTAAGGTTGGCACACTACAAAGGCCCAGGGGTGGAAAAGTGCAAAAAGAGATGGGAGGATGAATCGGATGAATCAATGTGAGACATTGAAACAATGAAATCCATCTCTTGATTCTGTCATCTCTGAGTCATTTCTGTTGAAAAGATGGCATTGGATCTGATTGAGCTGCAATTTCCTGGAATGAAGTATCCTTAGTTTCAGTTTCGCAAGACTTGATATCTCACGAAGCCTCAAGTATATATCGCAGGTGGCCCCAAGGATTGGGGATTTGAGCCTTGGTAGCAGCGGCCCGAAGGGCCGAAGGGACCCCGAAACCTGGCACGATCTGCCGGATGAAGCTTCGATCCGTAGCCCGGCGTTTCGGGCTCGGCTGAGGAGTGGTACAACAGCCAAGTGAAGTACACCCTGGTCAGTCCTGGCTACAAGTACAATTTGCTCTTCGTTTGTGGTGTTCTGAGGGCCAAAGGGTGTTTGGAGTTGGAAAGCACTCAGGTCGGGTCAAACCAAGATCCCAGCCCAAGGCCACCTATTCATGTGGGATCAGAGGCAACCAGGGTGAAATCATGCAAGTCTCAGAGAGATTGCTTTGCAGCGAGGTTGAAGAAGGCGTACAAGCAAGCCATGTCCAAGTGGGAAGACGAGTATGAGTGCCCTACAGAGCTTTCACCTGGGTGGGGCGGTTCAAAATGGTGAGAGCAACGTTATTTGTGTCAAACCCGCTTACTTTTGGATTGTATGTCCCTACGCCAGGAATCTTGCTGAGGCCCCAAAGACGCAGCATCTGGAAAGATCAGCTGGTTCCACTGGATTCATTGAAATTTAGGAGTGGTACTTTTCACCATCCAAATGTGATGATTTACGATGATTTCCTGCCAACATTCCACAAGATCCATTCCATGTTTCTTCATTCGATGCTTCTCCGCTGCTGTGTAGCTCCGTATACTGTCGGCTACACAGAGCGTTGCCCCACGTCGTACCATCGCAGTACCTTGCGTCTTTGCAGGCAGGGTGCGGTGGACATCTCATACAGGATTCCAGGATGTAGCCAGGTATTTTACAACTTTCACGGGTCAAAGTTGTCAAATCCTGATGATTTTCAGAGAGTGAAAGGAAGGACTTCAGTCTGGCACCCCATGTTCCAAACATGAAGAGGGTGGGCTGTCTCTCCCTTTCGGGTTTCAAATAGTGCCAGGTGACCTGGTTGTATTTGGAAACCCAGATTCGTGCACCGTCATTGTACAGCACCTGTGCCAGAAACGGATAACCCGGATAACCCATATTCTTCCAATTAGTGACGTAGTGATTGAAAACAATGGACACACAACGTGGAATCCGACAAATTAGGATAGAACTTCCAATCCGCGCTCCAGACTTTTTCCTTCATGACATTGTGTGCATGTGTAAATGGACCAATGGAACTCAAGTCATGGGATTCTGCAGATTCCTACACTGCAGGGAGCAGTAGGGAGCTTCATATCGCCGCGCTCAGGGGATCTTCAGCATTTGTGCAAGCATGGGAGTTGCGGAGGTTGTCGAGTGCAAGATGGTTAAGACCGTCAGGACCGGCCCATGTGGATATAGCTCAAAATGTGACTTATTCTGTGTGTCCATTGGTATCTTACAGTTACACATCTGAGCCATGGCCAAGTGTCTCGCGAAGATCTCTTCCTTTTTGATCAATAGGTGATATGATTGGTGCCCCAAATGCCCAAACCCACTTCACACCAACCATATGTTGATGGTTTCAAGGTTCTTCAAATCAAATATATGATATTATATATATGTGTGTCACAATATGGCATGACATACATGATATACATCGATAATTGATGATGTTTTATATTTCTGTAAAAGTACATCGATTTTTCACATCGGTACTACCGGCATGACAGTCGAACCAGCGCGAAAGGAATGAAGAAGTGGTCGAGCACCTCGCTCTTAGCCCAGGGGATTGCTCACCAATAAAAACTCTGCGAAACTGGCGCTGGTTCTTGTGATGGGTTTTTTGTGTTGAGAAAAAATTCAAACCGACAATGAAAATGTGCGTTCCGAAAAGAAGGTTTTGACTAGATCTCGACCGGTGGACAACTCCCGGTCGCATCTCCCTTTTTTTTCTTGCCTTGGGGGTTTGACTAGCAAATTGGGCGATGCTGCGCACGCTTGCAGAGGACATGTGAAACTTATTTTTCGGCATAATAGCTATCCCAGTTTGCGTTTGCTTCGTGACCACAATTGTGACTTTCATTTTCTTCAAACTATTTGCGCACGTTGCTTGTCAATGATTTTTGACATTCTTGTATACAATTTTCATTGGAAGCGACTACGTCCTGAGGCAAGTTGTGGTTCCAAGAATAGCGGGGATATCGCAACAAGTCTGTTTCAATGGAGACAGTTTGTGGCTTGTATCATCATCTGAAGATTAAAATAGTGGGATATTATGATATTCTGAATCTTCCTCCAGGATGATGTGCAAGTCCCTCTTTTGGTCAGTCGAATCTCAGCTTTCGTCAACCTCCATGACTTTCAAGTCTTTCAAGTCATCCCGATGGTGTGAGCCTTTTCAAACTCTGGTGAAACATCCAATCATTTTGTCACATCCAAAGATTTAGGTGGGTCCAAAAACGTTTTTTTGTTGCATTTTCTGACCATGAAATTACCAGGGAGAATGATTCTGAACCGGTGGTTTGAGGGGTAGTCGATCTTTGGACCATGGACAAACAAAGAATATGAATCTGGGTCGGGTAGGAATAGCTTACCTTCCGACACCCCCTGTCATTCCATGATGAAGCATGCATAACTGCATAACTGATTCAGCAACGACCTCTTGCCCAAGGAACACACACATATCCATGATGGCCATGATGCAATCATTTTGTCCTCAGGTTGGCACGGGAGATCATGCACCAGCATGTGACTGGGAAGTGCCATCCTTGTGTTGCTTTTTCTCTTAATGAAGGCTGAGGGCTGGAGGAGCTAAAAAAAGACTGTGAGCTTGGGTGGTTTGCGTGTATATGTATTTATAAATGTATATATAGGTCAATGACAGGTTTGGCAAAGTGGAGTGATTGGAATACGCCGCAACCACCACCGCTCAAGCTATAATCCCCATGGGCCGTTTCCCCTTGAATATATCGCCATTGTATCTACTTGGTTTGGGACACATTGCTCTGACCGGGATTGTGGTTCTACAGCATCACCAACAGAGAGTTTTGGAGGATAGGCTTCTAGATTTGGCGGTGAAATCTGCGGACCATAGGGAGGTACAAGTGAATCCTGATCCAAGTCCTGGTGGTGAGAGCGCCAAGACAACGCATCGGTTTGAGGGACCACCTATCTTTCCGGCAGTTGGCCCCAAGCCTGAGGCTGGCTTTCGAGAACAGGGGTTGCTGTCAATTGCTCTACTATTGTTAGTGTTTTGGCTAGCTGTGGTAGTGGCAGTGAAGATTTTGCAGTCCCGGACATCCAAGAAACAGGAGACAGTTGAGGGCGCTCCGAGCCCTAGGCAGCTAGCTCAGAGACAGCTTGCTGAGCTGCGATTGAGGAGACATGGCATTGGTGAATCGCTACATTCTGGTCGAGTATGATGTAGGAGGTCCGAGGTTGTGGCATGAGAGGTGGGCCCTAGAACATGTAGGTGGAGACTCATACATAGTTGTGACACCTGACAGAGATATATATATATATATAGTGAAGACTTGGGTTTGCTGAACAGTGATTTGCGTGGGATCCGAGTGCGACCCGCTCCTGGGGTGGTGCCTCCAGGGGTGAATGCAGCAGAGATTTATGCGCTGCCCATGTGGAATGTCGGAGAGGTGCAGGCCATTCGAGATGAAGCAAGGCAGGTCGCTCTCCAAGAGCTCCAGGCAGCGGGAGCACCTGCGGCACAAGCTGTTCCTGTGGCAGCAGTTGGGGTGGCAGCCCTTCCTGCGGTCGCTGGGCCCCTTGTGCCTGCTGGTGCGGCACCCCATGCCTGCGGTGTCTTGAAATGGATGGCGGCTGAGACGGCTGCGGGTTACAGGTATGGAGGCCCCGTTGTTGGGGTTACGGCGGCTAGTGCTCGTGGTGCCAAAGCAGTGCATGTGGAGAATGGGATCCCTATTTTTGTTGAGTGTGTTGATGGAGCAGATTTCACTGTTTTCATGTCACGCCCCGCCAAGTGTGATCATCGCATCTTGGCCGTAGAGATGAATGCTTTGTGTCAGCCTGAGAGGACGCTGAAGGATGCCGCTTCGGCCTTGTCTGAAACAGCGGTGAAGTGGACCCTCACTGGTCCTCGGACGTCCAAGTGGTGCACGAGAGACTGCGGCAGGTGACTCGTGCAGATTCTTCATCCTGGGGCATACAAGAGCATTTTCAGATTTCAATGTCTTTGAGGCAGGCCTTGTTGGTTGATCAGCTCAATGGGTGCAACCTCTTGAGCGTTGAAGTGCAGTTCAGGAGGTTGCAGACCATTGAATACAGCTATGCCGGGAAGGCGCGTGAACAAGAGTCAAAGGCGGTTGGAGGCAGACTGACATTGGAGGAGCAGACAACCTTCGGTGGCATGACTCGGCAATACAGTACGTTGATGATTTGTCCAGAATTGCTGGACTATGTCCGGACTGAAACTGAGAGAGAGGCGACTCTTGCAAAAAGTCTGCGGAAGGCCAGAGAGGAGCGGGAGGCCTTGCGAAAAGGCCAAAACCAAAAGACGAAGGGCAAGCAGGAGGACCCCTGAGGGTCCAGGTGCGGCCCAGCCTAGGCCCAAGGCTGGCCGTGGAACCTCATGTGCCACAAGGTGGAAGGCAGGTCAATAGGGAACTTTTCCCACTGCCCTCCGTGCATGTTGAATCTCTGGAAGCTGGTAAGTTGTCGAGGAAAGTTCGACAGCGGATTGGCAGAAGGCGGCATCTACAGGAGGAGGTGCAGAGTACAGTCAATGTTTTGAACATGATGCATGGTGGGACGGGCGGCCCTATGTCTCCGAAAGGTGATATCAGTAGTGGTCAGCAAAAAGTCCTGGAATTCATTGAGCAGTCAGTTGCGGCTTTGGGAAGCCCACCTCAACTTTCTGGCCCAGAGGCCCTAGAGGAGCTTCGGGTGAGTGTTGGGTACGGAGAGACGCCAGCTTCGTGCCCACTCGGTTCCTTTGATCCCGCATCCGTCTCATTGCCTTCTGGAGAGATACGACCGGTCGCTCTGGAAAAACTTTGGGGTGAAGGCGGGCAACAAGTGGTGAAGGAATTTTCATCATCACAAATGCTTGGTCCGGATGAGGTCCATGCCAAGCTGAGAGCTAGTGGTGATGTGCGGATTTACAATGACCCCAAGCTGAACGACCCCAAAGAATATGGAGCCTTCATTAGCCGACTGCATTCCTTAAGCCCCGCTGACGCCCTCCCTTGAGCCGCCCCGTTAACCCCCCCCTTAAGCCGCCCCGTAAGGGCTTCCCCCCTTCAAAGCGGGGGGGGAAGGGGGGCCCCCAAAGAATATGGAGCCTTCATTAGCCGACTGCATTCCTTAAGCCCCGCTGACGCCCTCCCTTGAGCCGCCCCGTTAACCCCCCCCTTAAGCCGCCCCGTAAGGGCTTCCCCCCTTCAAAGCGGGGGGGGAAGGGGGGCACCCTTCATGACCCCTTAAGCACCCCCTTAAGCCCCCCCTTAACCCCCCCCTTAAGCCCCCCCTTCAAGCCCCCCCTTCAAGCCCCCCCTTCAAGCCCCCTTGGACGAAGGGGGTGGGCCCGCCCTCTCAGAAGGGCAAGCAATAGAAAGGTGACTACATAGGTCTTGCTGAGTTTTGTTTGGAGCCGCAGGAGGAAGAAGTAGGGCTGTTTTTTGTGAAGAAGAAACAAAACCGCCTGAGGCTGATCATGGACTGCCGCAGGGCGAATCTCCATTTTGCAGAGCCATCCACCGTTGAGCTTGCAACCGGCGATGCGCTGGGAAAGCTAGAGGTGGGCAGAGATGATACTCTGTATTTGGCATCAGCAGATCTTGCAAACGCCTTTTATACACTGGAGCTGCCGGCAGAGTGGCGGCGCTTTTTTGGTTTTAGACGGGTCAGAGCTGTGCACCTTGGCGTGGTTGAGGTGAATGGCCAGGCTGTCGCACCTGACACCTGGGTGTACCCACGGACCTTGGTGGGTCCCATGGGTTGGGCCTGGGCATTGTGGTGGTGCCAGAGTGTGAATGAGAGGATATGCGAGAGGAGTGGTTTGGCAGCATGTCATAGAGTGCGAGATGGTTTTCCAATTCCTGGTGGCTCTTTCTGGCATTTGCAGTATGTAGATAACTTGCATGTGTTGGGAACTGACAAAACAGAAGTAGAGAAAAAGTTTTGGGATGCGGTGCGAGGTTTGAGGGAAGCAGGTTTGACAGTGCATGAGATAGAGTTCAGCGAGTCAACCGTCACCATGCTTGGGTGGCAGATGGAGGAGAAAGGGGTTCTACGCCCAACCTACAAGCGAATCTGGCGGATCAGGATTGGGATCCGGGAGTTGCTCTCCCGTGGGCGAATGACTGGACAACAGCTGGAACGTTTGATTGGGCATATGACTTTTGTGTCACTTTGCCGTCGTGAGGCCTTGGCGGTGCTTGGTGAGGTATACACCTTCATCAGACGGCATTACCTTGAATGCGTGCCTATCTGGAAAACAGTGAGGAAGGAGCTCATGAAGTTTGATGGTTTGTGTCCTCTAATATTCAACAACATGCGTAGTGGTTGGAGCAATGCAGTATATGCAGTTGACGCGTCAGAGTGGGGCTTGGGTGTTGTTAGGTCTGAAGTCGAACCTGGTTGCAGCAAACAATGGGGTCAACATCTTGAGAGGTGGAGGTTCAAGGATGCCAATGCAAAAGATCCTAGGAGGTATGTGTTGGTTGAGGATGAGCGAAACTTTGTGGTTGATGAAGATAGTCCACCCCCAAACAACGTTGAACGGCATTACAAGACAGTGGGTTTTGAGGCAGTTGATCGTCATTGGCAAGTTGTTGGTCGCTTTAAATGGTTGCGAGCAGATAGCATGCCTGTTTTAGAAGCCAGGGCCTCTTTGTACGCAGTCAAGCATTTTTTGAGGAACAGCACAAACTTTGGGCAACGGTTATTGGTGTTGACGGATAGCATGACGGCGGCAGTAGCATATGATAAGGGAAGAGCACAATCACACAAACTAAGGCGTGTTCTTGAGCAGTTTTCGGCTTTGGCACTTTCAACAGGGTTGGTGGTTAGGACTAGATGGATTCCAAGTGAGTGGAATCCGGCTGATTCAGTGAGCCGTGGGGGAACAGCTCCATCGAACCCACAGCGCCGTTTTGATGATCCACCGACAGTTGGGAGTGGAAGTGAGCTGGTGCAGCAGCCCTCAGAAAAAGAGGGGGCGGGGAGACAATTTCCCGCAGAACCAACAGAGGTGTTTTCCGACACAACAGGCTCGGGAGGCGCCCCTCAGGGAAGTTCCTCTCACCTGCCAGGTAGAGCAGTTGACAGAGCAGCGCTCAGTCAAGAAGCAGAGGCGAAGCCAGTTGAGAAAAGCAGCGCAGTCAAGAAAAGTAGGAGGAGTGCTGAGAAAGAACTCAGTAGGACACCTGACTCAAAAGAAATATCAGAGACACTGGGAGATGTTGCAAAAGTGGAGTCACAATGCAATTGCAGTAGATACTTCGCTGGAGGTGTTGGACTCGATGCTTGCAAATTATCTGGAGCATTGTTACCTAGAAGGGGAGGATCTCAGTTTTGCGAACTATGCAGTGGCTTCAGTAGTGTATCATCTGCCCAGGGCCAAGGGGGCAGCCTTACCCTTGGTACAACAGTCAATGCGGGGGTGGCGAAGATTGTGCCCACCGAGAGCGCGATTGCCAATCCCCTACGAAGTAGTGTGTCTGCTGAGCATGCAGGCCTACAAGGAGCACAAACTAGAGATTTGCGTGGTGCTGCAACTGATGTTTTTGTTGTACCTGAGGCCAGGCGAGGCCTTCACCATGCGGGTCCAAGACATTGTGTTCCCAGTCAAGCGAGCCGGCAAAGCATACAAGCACTTCTCAATACTGCTGCACCCCTCGGAAGAGGGGATTCCGTCCAAGACGAAACAGTGGGACGAAATGCTGAGTATAGACCTGAAACACATGAAGTTCTTGGGACCAGCTCTAGAACAAATTCTGGACCTCAAGAACAGGGCAGGTGCAGACAAAGCATTTACAATCAGCCTGGAGGACGTGAACCAGTTCATGGAAAGCAACTGGGAGCCTCTGGGCCTCAAGCCGCTGGGAAAGCCTCACGCATACAGGTTGCGCCACGGAGGTGCAAGCTGCGAGGCAGCCTTGAAGCTGCGCACACTGGCATCGATACAGAGCAGAGGGCGATGGCAGACGTTGAAAAGTGTCAAGAATTACGAGAAGGGTTCAAGACTGGCGCAGCTCTTTGGCAGTCTCAGCAAAGCAACAAGAGACAAGGCCGTGCGAGCAAAAAAGGACGTCGTGCAAGTCTTGTCTGGAAAGCTTTAGATCCTACGCGGAGTCTCAAAGTTTCAGTTTTTCTTGAAATTTTCAGTGGATGTGGTCGCTTGGGCAGAGCAATACACCGCAAGTGCGGGTGGCCGGTTCTCTTGTGGGATATTAATTTTGGCGCTATGTATGACTTGTTGGATTCTAGTAACCAAAACAAAATCATACACTGGATTATGTCTGGAGAGGTGCGAGCAGGTCATTTGGGTACGCCTTGTCATAGCTTCTCCCGGGCACGTGATCGCCCTGGGGGACCGCCAAGACTTCGGTCAGACCAGCAGCCTCTTGGACTTCCAGACTTGAGACCAGGTGACCAGCTGAAAGTTACCCAGGGGAACCGGTTGATGCGTTTTTCATGCCGAGTTTTGCTCCTAGCCTTACAACTGCATATATCATTTACACTGGAGAATCCCCTAAACAGTCGTCTCTGGTTGTGTCCTGGTGTGCAGAACATCATGCGTCGACGTGCCATTGATACAGTTGATATTACTTTTTGTGCTTTTGGTACTGCTTGGAAGAAACCCACTAAGTTTCTGGGTATACACTTGGATCTCTCTCTTCTTCGACCTTATTCTTGTGTTGGTACAAAGCGGGGCATTTGTGCACATACTGGCTGTCCACATATCCCACTGATGGGTCAGCATCCGTCAGGTATGTGGATGACAAAGGTCGCTGAACCATACCCTTTGGTGTTGTGCAGAAAGTTGGCTCAAATTTTTTACAACACTGATTTAGCAGCAATTGCAGAGGGATTCATGATTTACTTGTAAGCGGATACTCCAGGAGGCACCCGTTGAGTGCAAACTTGGGTGCAAAACTGGGTGCGGCTATGCTGGCGTTAGCTCTCAAGTGAGGCTGATCAGTCTCTGGTGCTCGCAAAACGCGAGGCAGAGCATTCAGTGACCCTTCTGGCGAGTTCCGATCCGGAGAGCCACCCAAAAGTCGGATTCGAGTCGGTTTCGGGTTTCGGGTTTCGGGTTTCGGGTTTTGTCGACTGAAACCAACTTTCGCTGTCGGTTTTTCGGGTTTCGGGTTTCGGGTTTCGTCGCTTGAAACCAACTTTCGCTGTCGGTTTCGGGTTTCGGGTTTCGGGTTTCGGGCTTCGTCGATTGAAACCCGGTTTCGGGTTTCGGGTTTCGATCGGCCCTGGGGAAGTTAAGTCTTCAGAGTCGGTTTCGGGTTTCGGGTTTCGAAGGTTAAGTCTTCAGAGTCGGTTTCGGGTTTCGGGTTTCGATCGGCCCTGGGGACGGGTTTCGGGTTTCGGGTTTCGGGTTTCGTCGATTGAAACCCACTTTCGCTGTCGGTTTCGGGTTTCGGGTTTCGATCGGCCCTGCGGAAGTTAAGTCTTCAGAGTCGGTTTCGGGTTTCGGGTTTCGGGTTTCGGGTTTCGATCGGTCCTGGGGAAGGTAAGTCTTCAGAGTCGGTTTCGGGTTTCGGGTTTCGGGTTTCGGGTTTCGATCGGCCCTGGGGAAGTTAAGTCTTCAGAGTCGGTTTCGGGTTTCGGGCTTCGGGTTTCGGGTTCGGGTTTCGCTGGTCGAAACCAACTCTGTAGACCTCACTCCGGATCGTCTCCTTCTGGCAGTGGAAATACATGCAACGGTGGCATATAGGTCAATGACAGGTTTGGCAAAGTGGAGTGATTGGAATACGCCGCAACCACCACCGCTCAAGCTACCCTCCCACCCATCCCGTTAAACGGGGTGGGTGCGGCTATGCTGGCGTTAGCTCTCAAGTGAGGCTGATCAGTCTCCGGTGCTCGCAAAACGCGAGGCAGAGCATTCAGTGACCCTTCTGGCAGTGGAAATACATGCAACGGTGGCATATATATACATATATATATACATATTATACATAGGGTCGAAATCTTATATATATATATACATATATATATATACATATATATATACATATATATATATACATATATATATATGTTCACAGACATTTGTGTTTGAAGCAGTTTCTTTACTTGTTCATTTATTCGGATATTCCCTATACGGTATTCCTTTATTTGATATTAATTTCAATATTTCTCCGCTTAATTTTTATTCATTGACTTTCCCTTTAAAGGGTGACAATAAACATTGAACAGTTATCATGTCTTTTGGTCTGTGACACGATTTCATGGAATCACAAAGTTATTTGGGGTGCCTGACTGAAATGGGGACTGAAAGCGCACTTACCTCATATGACTCATATGACCTGCCTTCGGTGTAGTGCCTCTGACGGTGATTTCATCAACCACCACCCTTGAAACAAAAGAACCATTTCCAAAGCGAGGTGTCCAAGAAACCATCTTGCATGATACGGGGTTGCCCAGAAACGGGGATTCCTCAAGATGTGTTTTTTGTTGGCATATGGTTTTCCAAACTACCGTCGTCTATTTATTTCATTCCCGAATGCGCAGCAAGGGTTCCCGTTTCACTCTGGGGGTCTGGGGGTTGAGGATGTGTTCGCTCGACGTTGCGCAACCGTTCGCAACCGTTCGCAACCCACACTCCACACTCTACACTCCACACTCCACACTCTACACTTTACACTCCACACTCTACACTCCACACTTTACACTCCCCACTCCACACTTTACACTTCATACTCTACACTTTACACTCCACACTCCACACTCTACACTTTACACTCTACACTGTACACTCCACACTACTCTACACTCCACACTCTATGCTCCACGCTCTACACTCCACACTTTACACTTTACACTCCACACTTTACACTTTACACTCTACACTTTACACTTCACACTCCACACTCCGCACTTTACACTCCACACTTTACACGCCACACGCCACACTTTTCACTTTACATTCCACACTTTACACTTTAGACCTACACTCTACACTTCACACTTTACACTCCACACTTTAAACTTTACACTCCACACTCTTTACTGCGCACTCCACACTTTCCACCGCACACCTTACACTCCACACCCCACACTCCACAATCCCCACTTCACACTATACATAACATATACATTCGCCACTCAACACTCCACTTTCTTCACACCCCACACTTTGCACTCCACGCTTTTCCGCCTTCCACAGTCTACAGTGCACTGGTACGGTAACGGGGGAAAAATGTACAAGACTGTTGAAGTAGCTTGTTTCACAAAAGTGTTCTACGTGACTGCATTCGGGTTCGTGGGCTGCATCTTATTTTTTTGAATCAGACAAACTCGCTTGCATGCTGCACAGGTGGATGTTTTAAAGGCAACCATTGCACTCATTGTCACTATTGCACCGCGGAGCAAGCCATGCATCGCAGGGCCGAACTGCAAGCTCAGGCATGGCTGGGGAGTACCCAGGTGACAAGTCAATTATACCGCTCGGAAAGTACCGATAGATCCATGACTATTTTTGATTTGTACATTTTACGTGCTGTGCAGATTGGATTGCCACGCTGGCACGCAGCAGGCGCGGCAAAAGACTCGACGTCACTACTACGAGCGTGCTGTGCCGGTGAAACGCTTTTGGCTTTGAAAGAATTCGAACCAGCCAATTCAACATGGCAAGGCCCAGAGGAATAGGATGCAGCAGAGTTCCCAGCTGGTTCGTTGGCCGGGCGACTGTCACTCAGCATGGCAACCTCAGGGCAACCAAGAAGGTATGACAACTGCATTATTCTCATGGTAAGTAATTACTAGACAAGAAAATAATAGCCCCTCAATGGTCATGTGCACTGCCGGGAGTTTCAGGTGCAAGAGCGAGATGAAAAAAAAACAGGTTTAATTGCAATGATTTGTTTTTTAGGTCTTTTCTTGGGGAATCAAAAATGCAACGAAACTCAGTGAGATCACTTTCAGCCGAAAAGTGACGTTCCAGCTGGGGCGGCGATTGGATCGGTTTGTGTCAACGCCAACAGATGCCCAGACCTCCAAAAACATTTTTGAAGGGAGAAACATTTCATACTCAGCTAGTCTGGTGGTTTCAGATATTCTTTTCTATTCCCATTAGACCCTAAATGAGCCTTGAACGAACCCGTGTTATTGGGGGGTCACCTATGGTCGAATGCTTTTTGGGGGTCAGGCTGGATCTTTTGTTCAGCTCTTCAGAAAGGGTGTATGGAAGGTTTGGGCTAGCGCTTAGACAGCAACACGGGTCCTTTAGTCATTTTTCCTGGGGTGAATTATCTGAATTTTGAGTCAAATTTCACTTTTAGTGAAATAGCGGTTAAGCCTCTAACAATGTGATGTTTCCACCAAACCAATGGACATCAAGTGAGATCTGAGGAGCGCAATTTGAGCCACTTCCAACCCTTCGAAGCAATTCCCAAGTGTCCAAGTTTTCGGGCTATTATTTGTCAGCAGCCTCGATCAGATTGGAAGGTCGAGGGATGAAATCTGGGGGCTTGGGAAGCAGCAGCAGTGACAAGCTCTTCATGGTGCTGTTTGCGCCACAGGCTTTCCAGTCGGACATAGAAAAAATACGAAAAAATGGGGTACAGGTACATATAAACATATATAGTCTTCAATTCAAACTAAGAGCAGGAAAGGTTGCAGCTGCAGCTTGTGCTTAGGCATTTGTTTTGAGGACTCCCATGTTGCGGTGCATCCGAAAAACGCACGAATTGACGCCCCAGCTCTAAGATGGATCCTTGGATGAATGTGCTAAAAAGATCTAAAAAAGCCCATCTGGAGGTTCAAGTCTGATATATATATATGTTTATATGATTTATATGTATATATATAATATATATATATATATGTAAATAAACAAGAGACTACATCCACAACTACGGCTATCCAACTACCTCTATCGGACCTCCTCGTTTTGGGCATCTCTGGAACTTTCTCCGGAGCATCAGACTGTTTCAACTTATGATCCAAATCTTCAGTGCGGATCGGGATAGGATGAACAACTCACCGTATCAGAAATCCTTTGGCTCTGGTTGTGAATCATTGACGCTCAAGGTTGGGCTTAGGGATAGAAACCAGCGAATCTGTGTTTCCATTGGTATCCCATCTCGCTTGACGGGTGACCATGGTTGTTCTCCAATCCCAACGAGGGTGTCGGTTCTGTGGCTCCACATTTGCGACCTCTGAGCCAATCGTTTCCCTAGACTATGGTCAGCTGGCCCCCAGATTGTTTCCCCCAGGAGGGGATGGTCAGGGGTCCAGCTCCAAGATCCAAAAGACTCCCCAAGAAAAGGCTAGGTGGCTACCCTCCGGTAAACTAACATAGCTATTGAAACTCACCATTTTGAATAGGTAAATCAACTCTAAATTATAAATGGTACATTTTCAATAGCTATGTTAAATTACCAGAGGGTAGATGATGTTTCAGTCGACCCAAAAACACATTGCTGATCTGTGGGAAGCTCAACAGTGCTCGCTTCGTGCTTACTCTGACACAACGGGTGTTGCTGAGTCACTTGAGCTGCGGCCGAAACCCATGAAACCATCATGTTTTGTGAACAGGAATCAGCCAGTGGTGTGGATGTTTGGGTGCCAGGTTTCCATTTCTGGGTCGGCCAATGCTCACTTCTGGGTGTTTGTCACCCCATGGCCCTTCCGCCAGAGACAGGTGCAAGACCACTGCCCATGGCAACCCAAACGACACAAGTGGACAGGTTGCGATGGGCCCAGAGGCCCCGTTCATCATGATTTTCCCATTAACATGGGGATGAAATGGGACTAGATGTGCAGAAATGGGATATTGTGGTATCCCCCCATTGTCAGATACATCCATGAGACAGTCCAGGCCTTTTTTCATGGAGATGGTCCATCCACTCGGTGTCAGGTTGCTGAATTTGAAAATATCGGCCGCCCAAAGGTCCCTGGCGCTGGCGTCGCGACACTTTGCTGCTTGACTTCCAGTGATCATGAATTATACAATGTACAGTATATAGTATATTAGTAATTATTAGTATATATATATATCTATATATAATAAGTGGGGCTGGCGCCCCTATGCCGCCGACCCCTGGGACGAGTTGGTGCCTTTAGCTGCCGTTCGGCACTGCCACCCTAGGTTCAAGGACGCTGCTGCAGCACCAAAACACCATGGCAGTGAGGGACGGATCGGGCCCGCGGCCGGCAGCCCAGACTGCCAAACGTCGCTTTCTGAACGCCTAGAAGCCCCAACATGTCTTTTCGAATTGCTTCACATAAAAGTTAATTCTCTCACGCGCTCCCCTGCTACAGCAGGGGTCGGCGGCCGGCGGATATAATATATACACACATACACACACACACATACATACATACATACATACATACATACATCATACATACATACATACAGACAGACAGACAGACAGACAGACATACATAATTACATACATTACATACATTAGATACATTACATACATACATTACATACATTACACACATTACACACACTACACACATTACATACGTTACATACATTACATACATTACATACATTACATACATTACATACATTACATACATTACATACAGTGCATACATTACATACATTACATACATACATTACATACATTACATACATGACATACATTACACACATTACACACATTCCACACATTACACACATTACACACATAACACACATTACACACATTACATACATTACATACACTACATACATTACACACATTACACACATTACATACATTACATACATTACATACATTACATACTTTACACACATTACATACGTTACATGCGTTACATGCGTTACATACGTTACATACATTACATACATTACATACATTACATACATTACATACATTACATACATTACATACATTACATACATTACATACATTACATACATTACATACATTACATACACTACATACATTACATACATTACATACATTACATACATTACATACATATACATACATTACATACATTACATACATTGCATACAATGCATACATTGCATACATGCATACATTGCATACATTGCATACATTGCATACATTGCATACATTGCATACATTGCATACATTGCATACATTGCATACATTGCATACATTGCATACATTGCATACATGCATACATACATACATACATACATACATACATACATACATACATACATACATACACACATACATCCATCCATCCATCCATCCATGCATGCATGCATGCATGCATACATACATACATACATACACAGATACACAGGCATACATACATACATACACACATACACAGGCATACATACATACATTACATTGCATTGCATTACATTGCTTTGCATTACATTACATTACATTACATTACATACATTACATACATTATATACATTACATGCATTACATACATTACATACATTACATACATTACATCCATTACATACACACATACATACATACGTACGTACGTACAAACATACATACATACATACATACATACATACATACATACATACATACATAGATAGATACATTACATAGATACATTACATACATACATACATACTTACTTACTTACATTACATTACATTACATTACATTGCATACATTGCATACAATGCATACATTGCATACAGTGCATACATTGCATACATTGCATACATTGCATACATTGCATACATTGCATACATTGCATACATTGCATACATTGCATACATTGCATACATGCATACATACATACATACATACATACACACACACATACATACATACATACATACATACATACATACATACATACATGGATACACACATACCTAGGGTGCTTTGTCTGCAGGTGTGCAACATGTTCTATGCTGTTCTATGGTGTCCAGTTTCAATGCTCTTCAGCAGATGGAAGTCAATGTATGGAACACCCCCCAGGGTCGGAGGTACAAAGCCTCTCCTGGCCGGTGCTCAAGAGAAAATTGCATCAGACCCATAGCTGCCATAGCTACATAGATAGAGGAGGAAACCTTGAAGTGCAGAGGTAAAGAATCTAGGGGCTACCCCCTGGGAAAATCATGGAACCATCTGCCTTGTGGGGCTGGAAAACCTACATCCGGCGATTGAGCACCAAGTCTTGATTGACATCGTTCCTTCAGAGCGTTTTAACAGATCATCAGTCAGGTTTATGGTCTGAGACTCTTCCAAAAAGGGGAGAGAATGGGGTTGCCTGAAAATCTGTTTTAAAGTCCCATGGTTTGAGAGTAAGACCTGATTTTCCCGATGAAATAGGGAAATCACACGGTACCCCTCACTTTTCGAACAAACAGTGTTGTTTTCTCATTCAAGTTGTCCCACCCAATTCAGGAGACGCCTGTTGATGTTCAAAGTGCGAACCAGCTTGGACCGCGCGTCGCTCCAAAAGATGGGTCTCTTCTCTGGGTGGAGGTTAGGAATATAGCCGTGGCCAGAAGATAAGTGTCTTTGGTATCGCGAACATTGAGTTTGTTTTGATTATTTGTCTTCCCCAAAATCTCATGGACTCATGACTAATGCATGATAACATTGTTGTTTAACATTGCCTTTTGATATATATATATATATACACACTGTATATACGTTATGCCAGATTTTCTGATAGACCCACTCATGTGGTAAAGCCGACAGTAACACATAGTAAAACACCCCTTTTCGTGTGTGGTCCTAAATGCGCCTAGGCCCCAACTAGTAGAATTGCATGAACGGGATATGGTTTAATGGCATTTGAATCCATCTATAGATGGGAATGTAGCCCCAAAATTGGATGATTAATAAACTAAACTTGTCCGCTGCGTCTGAGGACTTTTTTAACCATCTCCAGATGATGTTCCGACTACGATGCACATGCATACTGCCAGTAAGAAAAAAGAAACCACCCTCTGGGAATCAAACATGGCTGGAAAATCCACCATTCGGGATGATTTTCCCAGCTCTAAACCTCCAGTGGTGATTTTCCCCATATTTTCTCCGGAGCTCATTGAATTCTCCATGAATTTCATGGTCCAGGTACATTTGGGCCCTCGACAGTGACATTGATTTCACAGGTGCGGCAGAATGGGCTTTTGTAGGGTACCTATATATAGGGTGTCAGGGCTTTGAAACACCAGCGTAAATGATGGTTGAATACGTTGAATAGCCTTTTTGGAGGAAATCTACCACGGAAGCTTGGTATAAGATACACATCCACGGAACTCAGCAATCTGAGCCTCGACATTAAAACTGGTACTTGGTAAGTATACCGTATTGGTTTACTTGAGATCTGCAGGAAACCCCTGTATTTGGGTGCCAAAGCCAGTGTTTTGTAGATTTCACTTTAAACCAATTCATGTATATGGCGGCTCTCTTTACCATGAGATTTGTACACCCAAGGGATCCCAAGGGTGCAGGCTTGATAGTTGATGATGTCTCTCCTTGAGTAGTGGTACCCAGCTATTTCGTGGTCTACTCTAGGACCGGGCAGCTTCTTGCTGGAAAGGGACTGGTTCCAAGATTTGGAGGGAATGATTTCAGTGGCCCCAGTCTCGCCGAAAAATAAGGATAAGCCAGCAATGGATAGTGTGAAAACGCTGCTCTTTCTAGAAGGTCGGATGGACAGATTTTTTGTGGCTCTCAGATAGATCTGACAGTATTACCTTAGAGTCTTAGAGTGTTTAATGGTTTCTGACGTCTCTCCATCCCCCGAGTTTTGTGGGACCAAGGGTCTACTGTGACAGGTGCGGATCTCATTGAACTCTTTTCCTTGGCGAGATCCTCAGGGTCGCTGATTGTTGGTCCCACCTTTGCAGGCTGGGGCTGGAGGTGGAGCATCACCAGGCTTTGCGATGCCAATGATTGCCATGGAAAAAGCTGAGGATTTTACTTGTGGGGATGGACACTTGATGTTTCAACACCTCTTGGATCGTGTGGATAGTGTTGTACAAGGCAGTCTTGAGGTTGATGTCATGTGGCCTCTTCCCACTGGCAAGCAGGATGAGTTCACTGGTAGGAATAGGGCCATGACCATCATGATAGGGGCTTATCGGACCCTCGAAATTGGGAACTGTTGGTTCAGTTTCCACCCAGATTTTTCGTTGATCCTGGGTCGACAGGTATGCAGTCATGGCTCACCTACACCATGAGCCTCTTGGCACAATGGTTGAGGTGGATGACATCTGGAAATTTCCCATCGAAATTAGCAAGCTCTGTCGTGAGCTGGCGATTCTAGACTTGGGTTCCTCTCTCAACGACACTGCACACTGCAGACCCACACTGGTTTAATCTGACCATCCCTTTGGGACCGGGAAGATCTTCCCGCCAGGTATGCAGGAGGTCACAGCTCACGGCTCCATTGGCTCCATTGGCTCCATTGGCTCCGGCTCCATGGTTCGTCGGGATCAAAGCGACTTCCAGACCCGCATCAACGTGACTTGCTCCATCGAAGCCGAAAAAACAGGGGGACCGGGGAGGCACCGCGAAGATGGGAAGCTGAAAGGCCAACGCTGATCCATGTAGCTGTTGTGTGCTCTTTTTTTGGGATTATTTGGTGGTTTCAGACCAGTGTTTGTAGAGTAGCTTGACAATGTGCTGTCCAGCCTCTGCTATTCTACTTTGCCATCCCTTCTCCATTGGCAGGACAAGACCTAAAATCGTGTGGGTGTGGCTCAAAACGAAGGAATTCAGGACTAGAAATCTTCCAGCCCCGACTGGCTACTGATCAAACTTGTTCTCCAACGAAACAGATGTTTTAGACGTTCCAAGTTCGTGGTCTATTCGACCCGTCATGTTGACCGCCAACCATGACCAGCCATTTGTGTGTGTGTGTGTGGGTGTGTGCGTGTACCCCGTTTTTAGCGGTGCAAGCACTTTTGGGAGGCTTGCCGTAGTAGAGCACGTGTCTGAATTGGCCCATACTCAAATGGTACGCAGATAGTGTTCATCTATCCAAATATTGTGCTGTAAGCTCCAGCTTTGACGTTCTTGCATTTTGTTTGCACCTGATGACCTGTAACACCTTGTTTTCTTGATAGGGCTTTGAATACTCCATAGCCATAGATTCTACATCAAAGGCTAGTGAACCCCCAGACAACACCATGTGTTGAACCCATAGAGGAACCCCCTGGCAGAGATCATGGCTTCCTTTGCACCTTGGGTCAACCCATAGTTTGTGGTTGAATCCCCATTTTTGCTTCTTAAGACACACCTCCTTTTGTTCGTTCAATCCCTGTCATGGTAATTTTTCAGCATTTCTGCAATTTTTGCAACAAATATGCAGCTGACATCAGCTCTCTGCCTTCCCCAGCAGCTGGGGAAGCCGAAACCACAGGTGCTGGGGAAGCCGGATCCCCGCTGCAAGCTGCGGCACACGGATTTCGTCGAGATGACTGCGCCGCTCCTCTCCAGCAAGGTGCGGTGCCTTAAACGCCGTGGCCCGAAGAATCGGGGCTGCAACCTGGGTTTGGTCCCAAAATGGGGGATACTATAATATACTAGATATAATTAATATTAATTAATAACAATAATAGTAATGATACTAATACTCAGATAAACCAATTGACTGCGAATTTCATTTGGAAAATGTTTGTCAAAGATGGGATGGACTGGGGTACTCTATTGTCAGAGAAACCCACCTATGACAGATACTGTAAATGATTGCAAAAGGGGGGAAGGTAGGTGATTTTACCTGTTTGTTTATCCTGCTTAGTTACCTATGGTATTTGGGGTGTTGGGAGCAACCTTGGAAAACCAGCCAGGCCCCTCCGAAATTCCCAAGTTTTTGGAAGGCTGAGTTCTAGGGATGATGGGGATGGTCTGGCAAAGTCAACATTTTTCCCAGGTCATTCTTAAAGAATATTAAAGAATCATGGTGCACGTCATAGATGTCCTTTTCCCATTGGTTGGTTGATTAATAGAGGGGTTTGTTTACCCCTTTAACAACAGGTAAATGATGATAGATGGTATACCAAACCGGCCCCTCTATTTTTACCAAAAGGACATTATTGGTGCACGTCGTATTTTCTGTTTCCGTGTTGTCCCAAACGTAACCGCCGACCATTGGGGCGGCCAAACGCACAGAGATGAACCACCTTTCAGAATGGGGATCCAAAAAGGGGCAGAGGTGCTCCATTCCCATGAGACCATCGAGTGGCTTGGCATACTCGCCACAGATTTTTTGGGCATTCGAACAGTTCGAACATCAACTTTAAGATCTTTCTCCACCAGTTCTCATTTTGAATATATCACAAGACTTAGATATCCTTTCTCTAAAAGACACAGTCACATCATCTAAAATAGAAAAGACATGAATGATTTTCCTTTGCATGATTGGATTGCCATAGGGTAACCAACAATTTTTGCTGCTGAAATCTAATTATTGAATGATAGATCGAGAAAAATGGGTCCGTCTCAACAAGATAGGCAGCATTGTCAAATTTTCCTTCACGCGGGTTGCTTGTTTTTGTCCGGGTCATAAAAACCCTTTGTAAAACACAATCACTATGTATGACTGAATGACCCCCTTTCCTAGCCATCTGCAGTTGTTTTCCATATCTTAGCCTTAGTTTTGGTTAACTAGTATGAAAATACTCAATTTTTATTTTTTGAAAATCATTTTGACCCATAGACCTCACCATTTGTTCTAAAAAAGACATGGTGTTTTCACCAAACATGCCAGGTGTTGGCCCTCATCTTGATGCTGGGTTTGAAAGCTTGAAGGAATAAGGTGAGGGAGGACAAGTCCCTGCGTCTTCTGAAGATGTTACTGATGATACCCTCAATGAATTCGTACGGAGAAGAACAATAACACCCTGTTGTTTTTTAAAGCAATATGAAGGGTTCCTGTCAACAAGATGAATGTTTCTGTTCGTCAATCCATGTAAAAAAACTAGACGTAAGCAAAGAATATGGGTCTGAAATTGCTTATGGAAGCTATGGTACCATGTGATGTACAGATGTCCCTGCATTGTACTATCAGGGAAAGAGCCGAAGGTTGTTTGATTCCGGGAAGCGATCCCATGCCCGGCGCTGTCTTCCTTTCATCCCTGTGGACTCGCTGCTAGAAATGGGTGTGTCTGAAAATGGGACCAAAAACCTTTTCATTTCATGGTATTCTAAGTATTCTATATGAATTCCTAGACAAAAATTGATGACCAACTGGATTTGATGGATTTTTCGTGAAAAATCCTAAAATAGCCTGATACTTTTCCAAGGCTGAGCTGGTTCGGCATCGTTTGAAAGTTCTTTCTTTTGCATAGTGGCAAAGCCCGCATTTTTGTTGATCGCGAGTTTTTTTTTGTGTACGGGTTTGTCCATCAATTTGATTTTGCTAATTTGCACCAACTCACGATATAATGACGGAGTCAATAAATGTATACAACACCAATTATATAAGAATAACTACATTTGGATGATATTTGGGTCCCTATTTTAGGAAGAAACCCCCATTTTGATCTCAGGAAAGACTGCGTGGACTGTGTCCACGACAAGGCCGAGTGGGGCCTAGACCGTGTCTGGTGCAAGTTGGCTCAGAAGCTCTTGCCGCTTGGTTTTGTTCGGTGGGGATGATGCCTGAGGCATAATATGGAGGTTTCCTAAAATGGGGTCCCCCAAATCATCCAAAAAATTGACCATTTTGGTATTGAAACCTATGATGACTTGGGGATACCACATTTTTTGAAACCCCATATGGCAAATGGTTTGGTCCAAAATAATCCAATTTTGTCTTCTGATTGCCTTGTGCACCGCAAAAATGGGGAAGGCGGCATGTTTTGACTTGTTAAAAGTTGGGCATACCCCGCGTACTCCCAAACATCCTAGTTATGGCTGGTTCCATCGCAAAAAATCACTGTAAAAGATTTTTTAGACACAGCCAAATATGATAGTGAATGGTTGCATCAATTAATATATATATATACATACATATATGATATATATATATTGATATATATATGATATATATGCATATAATATATATGTCATCCCACCAATTCCAAGTAATTTTCATAACTTCCCATAATATATATATACATACATATACATATATATATATCTATATATATATCGTATACATTCTCGTTGTTTGTTGGGTAAATTGGTAGATCTGCATGTTGCGCTAAGGGCGCAGACCTCCAAGCCTTGTGCCCTGTTGGACGCCGCACCGGTGCAGCACTTGGACTGGAAGAAGGCGCTCACTACGTGAGCTTTGTGAGCTTCGAGTTGGGAGGAAGTGGAAATTTGTAACAGATGGTATTATTATGAACCACTATATTTTATTATATATTCAATAATAATAGATGGTATAGTGTATCTAAAATTTATTATTATTATTATATTATATATTATTATTGTACCCCAACTATATTATTGTTATTATTACTATATTTACTATTACTATATTTATCATCTAAAGATTGTTACTAATCATAGTGTTTAACTCCATGCAATAGTATAGTAGATTTAAATCCTAACAATGGTATTGTCTACTATAGTTGGTGAGCCCAACCATCTATAACAGATGGAGAACCACCAAATTTATTATTGTACCCCAACTATCTATCACAGATGGTTACTGTAGAACCCTAACTATCTATAACAGATGGTGAGCTATCTATAGATAACAGTTATTTCCATCTATTTATGGTGAGCTATATGTTAACATAAAATTACTATCTATTAACCATCTGTAAACATGAAGTGAGCTATCTGTAGAAAAAAGTGAGCTATCTATTAACTATCTGTAAATAACTATAGTTAATAACTACAATATGCTATAGCTAGAACTATCTGTTAACTATAAATACAACTATCTATGAATATGTTCTAACCACTGTTATTAATGACATGCGCCATGATCCAAACACGGGTTGTTTTCATGTAAAAGGGGATGGTCGGAATATACCATGTTTGACAATGGCCGATACGACCAATGTAGGACAAACAGGGATGAATGGGGATTAATGGGAATTTAAATGTCATTTATAGTTGGCTGGGTTGGACTAAGCGGGTTAGCCAGGGTTTATCGTACAATGTACGGGTGTTAGACACCAACAAACATGCTCTCTGGCTTTTCCAACATGGTTAGCCGGAAAAATCACCATTTGGTTCGATGATTTTCCCAGCTCGAAACCTGAATTCATTGTGATTTTCCCTATATTTTCCCATGATTTTGCCATTGGAACCTTCATTTTTCATGGGGATTTCAAAGCCAGTCATGTTGACACCGGGGAGGCAGTCGTGACGGCGGACTTCAAAGCCTCGGAGCTGGCGGTGAAGTCGGAGTATCCCGAGTATTGGCAGGGAGACCCAGTGAGTTTGTCTGGAAACCCAATGGATCATGGTTGAAAATAGTTACCCTCTGGTAATTTAACATAGCTATTGAAAATGGACATTTATAGTGGATTTTCCCATCAAACATGGTGATTTTCCATAGTTATGTTAGTTTACCAGAGGTTAGTGAGTTAGTAAAATATCCAGCCCCAGAAAAAAAATATCATGGTTACGAAAAAACCCGCAGAGATGTCCGATTCGTTACAAATTCAGAGCCACAGCAATGGGGAACTCTCCGTTTCACTAGGAGGACTTTTACGCAGACTAATGGGTGGATTTTCACGTAGAACTAATATCATGTTGGAAGATGTCTCTTGAATGGCCAGTGTTGACATTTAGACATGGAGGTTTCCTAAAATGGGGGTACCCCCAAATCATCCAAAATTAGACAATTTTAGTATTGAAATTGAAACCCATGGTTTTGGGGATCCCCCATTTTGAGAACCCCGCATATGGTTTCATGGCGGATTTCCAATTGCTGTGCCAACCGGCCAGATTGAGGTCGGACGTGAAGAATATCGACTGTGCCGCTTGGTAGACGGCAAAGTGCTGGATGGTACCCAGACAGTGCATCCGGCATCCATACTATTTCTGGGGGTACCTCGGGGTTCAAGGTACGCAAACACATGCATGGCCAGAGACATGTAGTATCCTGTGTGATGTTGACATCTGATTATTAGACCCACCGTCTTCAAACATTATGGGGCCATGAATCATGTTCAGGCCAGACAAGCTTCTTGGCACCCCAACATGGAGTCAGGTGAAATTTTCTGGGTAAATCAGAAGTGTTTTCATGGAAAGCCGTCTGGGAATGTTGACTTCGACTTGGTTTGATCTGATTTGATTTTGAAATTGAATAAAGCGTACTTTGAACTGACTTACTTCCATTTGAATTCAGTTTGACTTGAAAAGGAATTTTAAACGCCTTTGAATGAATTTTGCATCTATTGGTTACAATAGATTCTTTGGGATGTTTTACGCAGGTCCCAAAATTAGGGAACTTTATTTTGGAGGGTCAAACAATGCTTGTTCTTTAGGTTCCGGATTGTTTCTAGGCCACCCCCTTTGCGATTTTGTTGGGGTTATTGAGACAGGATGCAACAAAGGAACGGCAGCTTTAGGACCAACAAAACACCGAGGGAAACACATGAAGAAATGAAGCAACAGAAATGCCTCCCAAAAATGTTGGCATACTTTATTGCGGGGGTGGTTGATTAATCTGTCCTGGATTTTGTCTGACTTTAAGGTGGCGGGGGTTGACAATCAGATGTGAGTTTTGTGCATGTGCTTTACTGTTGATTCGTCTAACTTTTTAACTGGCTGTTTTGGTCAGTTGGAATCTGGGGTCTGAGTTTGAGTGAAGTTGCAGTGCCCTTGTCATTGAGGTGAACGACTTCAAGGATGCCTTGCTGGACGTGAACGGATCGCTCCCCTCATGACGCTCCCACCGCTGACCGGGGGGACGACGACCTCTGGGGCTGCTTGGCGCCGGTTATCTCCAAAGGGGGGCTGTGCGCCGGCTGAATAATGCGGAGACGACGTCTTTGTTGCGGGAAAAGGTGTTGAGGGCGGGCTGAAATCGCTGAAGGTTTTTGGATCCTTTGTGGGTCTGGATGTATCAATGGGCATCAGCTTAAACTTGAAAGGCACCTTGCCGCAGGTTAGACTGCTCAAGTCAGTGTCCCAGGATGGTAGCAGCATTTGGAAGTCTGGCAAGGGACAGTTTTTTTTCTCAAACAACAATGCTATATCTCAGTATCTCCAGAGCTCAAAATCACAGACTATGGGTATGACTAGTTTTGTTGAGACTTTCTATTCTCCGAAAGGTCTCATGTTCATCGAATCCTTGGGGCACAACAGTGGATTTCTCGCAGAAAACTCCTCCGAAAGGGCCGAGAAGATGGGCTGTTCTGGAAGCAACTCGGCGGATGTTGGAAAATCCAAGGGTACCCCATCCATAGAGCCGTAGATAACCTGCAAACTACATAGCAGCATATAGCAGGCTTCTGATGTTTCAGGCTTGTGAACTCCCATGAACTCCAATGATTAATAATTTGGGTACTTCCAGTGGATTTTTGTTCATTTTTTGGGTTGGAAGTACCACTTTTGGATGTCCGTTTTTTTTTTTGGTAAACGGCCTCTTGCAGACTGCGTGGAAGTCTTGTGCTAAGTAATAAAATTATGTTAAATCAAACCGGAAAGCTGGTGACATGAATTTATTCAGGAAGGGAGCTGGTCAAAGGTGATGGATGCCACGAAGAATATGCATTTGATTCATTGATGCCAACAGATACAGTATGAAGGAAGAGTGCCACAAAAGGCCTGACACAGGAGTGCTTTGAAGAAGTCTGGACTTTTCAGACAAGAGTCGTTGAAATGGGCATATCAACACACCATGCCGGATGATTGGGTCTTTTCAAAACGTAGTTCACGGTGGTCTTTCTCTTCGAAAGGAGACCGTCAATGAGTCAAAGTTGGGATGTTTCGAACAGTCCTCATTTCTTCAAACAAAGATGGATGCTGACATGATCAATGGGGTACTTGGCATCAAAAGGGGGGACCTATACAACCATCAAAAATTGGGATTTAACATGAAATCGTTATCAAGAGACCCTTTGGAGATTGAATGGTCATTTTGGCAGTTTGACCCATTTACAACTGAGGTACCACACGCAGGGCTGATTCTCCTGCGACGCAGTATTCCTTGAAGAACCGACTTTCTGGGGCCTCGGGCGGTGTCACTTGGCTCAGACCTGGAAGATTTTTTTCTCCCCCAAAATGGGATCCCAAACTTGGCCAACGAAAATTAGGTTTGAAACCTCAGGATCTTTTGGGTAGCTGTAACTGTAGGTATGTGGCTCAAACACGGGGCAGCAAAGGGCAAAGGACCCACGAATTGGTTGTCTTAAGAGTATCTAAATGTATTTAACCATTAGCAAATGGAGGTCAATATGTTTGAACCATACCCAGATGCGTTGGGCCCCTTTTGCTTCTGGTGCTGCTGTTTTCGAGAGCAGTCCCTGAATTGCACCAAGATACTGGACATCAACTTGTCAAAGATCATTAGCAAAGCTGGTTGGGATGCCATCTGCTAGGGCTATTTGGATGTTCTTGTTTGGGGGATTGTAAGTTTCAGGCCTCCCGATTTTCACCCTCACCATTTTTCGAATGATTTCGGCAGGTCTCGGCTGCAGATTTTGGTCTTAGATAGATCATTTCTTGTGGTGTCCAATGCATCTTGCACCTTCGCTGAGATGCATATGGCTCAAGATTTAATTACTGCACATGGAACATCATGGAACCACAAACATCTATTGTTGGTATGAAGCCATTCATTCTCGCAATTGGAATCCTCATGTTTATGACAAAAACTGAATGATTCTTGTTCCTTTTCTCCTGAGATCTCCTGAGTATTTGGTTTTCATAACCCCTTCCACCACAAGGCGAGTTTCTCTATGGCGTCCACCGGAATCTCGTCATCTCTGCCTGGGGCCCCCAAGTCGGGAAAGCACCAGAGTTCCGGGAAATTGATTGCTTGAAATGCTTGAAATGCTTGAAATGCTTGAAATGCTTGAAATGCTTGAAATGCTTGAAATGCTTGAAATGCTTGAAATGCTTGAAATGCTTGAAAGTGCTTGAAATGCTTGAAATGCTTGAAATGCTTGAAATGCTTGAAATGCTTGAAATGCTTGAAATGCTTGAAATGCTTGAAATGCTTGAAATGCTTGATGCTTGAATGCTTGAAGTGCTTGAAATGCTTGAAATGCTTGAATGCTTGAATGCTTGAATGCTTGAATGCTTGAAATGCTTGAAGTGCTTGAATGCTTGAAGTGCTTGAATGCTTGAATGCTTGAATGCTTGAAGTGCTTGAAT